AAGTCACCTAGGTTCTAAATTTATTTTATTTTATTTAGAGAATCATGGTTCAGATAAGAGGAAAAAGAGGGTGAATTTCTGATGGTCCACACCTAGGACCACAATGGCTCAATAGATGGAACTTGATGCATTGATAAGTTCTAAGGCTTTCCAACACTAGGATATAAAAATAAGTTTATCTTTTTTCTAAGGGAAATTGTTTAAAACTCATCATGAGTTTTCAACATTTCTCTTAAATCCATCACAACTTTTCAAAATGTCTAAAACTCACAATGTCAATAAGTTTTTATTTTCCAAAACTCACCTTCCGTTAGTGCACCGTTAGTTCTTCCTAACAGAGGTGTCCATGTCAACATAAATAACAATTTTCATAACTAAATTACACTTGAATTGTGTGAAAAATGGTCTTTTTAGTTTTCAATTATATTGTTTTTTTTTTTTTGCATTTTAGTGTTTATGTTATAATTTCCAGGCTTTTTATACTTTCTGTGTTTTTTTACATTTTTCTATTTTCTACAATCTATAAATGTTCCTGTATTTTTTATTATTTATTTGCAATTTCTGTGTTTTTTGTATTTTTTTTTGTGTTTTTTTTTTCATTTTTTATTTTCTGATTTTGTTTTTCAATTTCTATAGTTTCTATAATTTGAAAATAATTTTTTATTTTGTTTGTAATTTCTATAATTGTTTATATTTCTTTTTATAATTTCTATGTTTTTATGTATTTTATATTTGAAATATTTTTTGAACTTTTTTCAATATGACTAAATATTAAAATGATAATATATTAACACCCGTTTTCTAATCTTTCTAATTCACAGTAGACAGAAATGGTAATTTAATTATCACACACACTCTAAGTAGGATAAATACTTGTATTTTTATTCCCTCTTATATTATGACATTAGAATTTGATTTTCAGATGGCACCAGTAATAAAGTGATCCCTAAGTGCCACGTGGCTACTTGAGTTATTTGTAGTTTGAGTAAAGGTGTCTCGCTCCAATAGGTTTTGTCTCAACAATTTTCTTTAGTATTGTTGTTCCCTCGAGCTTTTATTAGGGCCTAAGTCATTGTCCAATTTGAAGAATTCCGAGTTTTCAACTACATTAGGCTCTGCATCAAAGCATCAAAGTAGGTTTCTCCACTGATGAATCGGCTGTGTTCTGTCAAATTCATCAGAGGGTTATCCAACAAATTCCATTTCTTTGCTGCTTGGGATCAAATTCCTCTTCAGTCTCCACTTTTACTGCCCAATCCTGATTTCAGAGTGCCTATAAGAAAAATGGCTATGTCTAAAGTCTTTAATTTCAATTGGGATATCAAAGAACAATTGAACTGTCAGAATTTCAAATATTGATTATCTAATGGAATTTTCTTCTTTCAGCTAAATAGAAAATAACAAAAATAGAAAATCAAATGAAGAAAGAAGAAGAAGAAAACGTTAAGTAATTTACGAATCTTTTTTGCTTGTCTGGTAGGTTCTAGAGAAAAGGAATAAAGAAAAAGGGAGCTTTTGTTACTTGATTCTAGACGTATTTATTTTCTGAGAACCATTGTAGAGAGAGAAACTTAATGTAGAAAGTAGAAACGAGTACCAACAATTTCTCAGTGGGCAACGGGCGTTATTCCCTCATCACGCTCCCATGTCTGAATGTAGCATTACTAATGGTTGAGTATCGGTGGTGGGGACAAGTAGGGTGCACAAGCAATGTTTTCAAAATCGAATTGGACCTGATGGTTAGACTGAAAAATCAGAAACTGGTCAGGTGACTGGTACAGTTTCAGTCCAAAACTGTTTTTTGGTCAAAAATCATTGATTTGGTCAATAAATTATTGATACGGGCGGTTAAATTGTCGATCCACTTACCTGAATAATAGTTTTTGATCATTTTTTATTTAATTTTATTTTTTTGTCAGAACAGACCATTCATTCGGTTTAAACAATTAAACTGTTCAACTCAAAAACTGGACCCTTACCCGATCATCAGTGTTGGTTAATCATGTTTGTATATATGTAATATATACACATAAAATTCATATTTGCAGCATGCACATGAAATCCACGAGCCACATGGTCATACCATATGGAGTCTCTAATTCCATGGGTTTGATCCCCCAACTACTTGATCATCAATATACTTCCAGTTGGCTACTTGATCATCATCATCATTATAAATATATATATATATATGAATGAACCGAACTTTTAAAAGGGGAGTTCAAGCACACCAACCAATTCTAAAATAATCAGATAGGATTCCGGATTTTTGGGTTCCACTAGAAGTCCCAGTCGGGTAAAAGGACAAGGTTGTTAGTTGGGTACTCCATTTGAAGACATGGCCCCTCAAGCCAGATTTCCTTTAAATTTTGCCGGCCCAAGTGGCACCCCTATAAAATAACAGTTCATCATTATCAATAAAGGCATCTGTCGGTCAACTTAGCAGAGATCAGGACATGGCAAGATGCAACTTGGTTTTTTGTGTGAGGGCCAAGTTGGGCCCAAATTTTAAGGCTAGTTCAAGCTGAATTAATCTTCTAGGAATGTCAATGGATCGGATTTGGTACGAGCCTTGTTTAACACAACCCGACCCATTGTGGATTTACTACTTGACCCAATAGGGCCGGATCAGTGTGGATTTATTTACCACTAAACCCAATCCATTGAAATCCCATATGTCAAGAATCACCCAGCCCATGTATTTGAATCATAATAATCTGTCTGCAGCAACTCATATAGGATTTACTAGTAATGCAATTTTGTTCCCAAATTTGGTTCTCCATACTATTTTTATGCTTCAAAGAGGAAAGAATAAGAAAGAAGCAGAAGAGACAAAAGCATAGCTGAAATATTTAAGAGTGATGTGAGTAATGATAAAGACATGGATTGGTCAGACCTATATTTAAATACTGTGCCTTTAATGACATGGATCTGGTTTGGTGCATCAAGTGGGACCTAGGTAAGGTTTAACCAACCCATATCCCTTGAATTACTTTGACAAGTATTTATTGCCCCAGTCCTATGAGCATAATTAGGGCTGGTCAGGCCAGTTAGGGTTGGTTTTATGATCATTAGTGCGGAGGCTCATGCATTGATTATGCATGCCTTTGGCTGGTTATAGTAGAGACTTGGGATTGAACCCCCTTGATCATTGTCATGAAGGATTATGGGGTTTTGGGGTATCAACAGTTCCAATTGAATAAAACTTTGACTTTTTCCTCTGAAAATTTGATAGAAGACCTATTAATTCATATTTTAAAGTGTTATATAATTAAAATCTTAAAACCTTTTAGACCATGTTTGGAAGTGTTTATGTTAAAAATAAGTGCTTATTCGAATAAGTATTTATTTGTATTTGACATTCAACTTTTTTAAGTACTTATTTAAAAAATAAGCACTTATTTCATATTGGGTGTTTGGTAGTCTTTTCCTCCAATAAGCACTTAAATAAGCAATTGTGACTCTTTTGTCCTTTATTTTCTTTCAAATTTTCAAAATATCCAATCCAAAGTGAATGAATAAAATTACTTTTGTAAAAATACTTTGATAAAAGTGCTTTCATAAAAGTGTTTTCATGTAAAATTACTTTTATAAAAGTGCTTTTGTAAAAATACTTTACTTTTATAAAAATAGTTTTCACAAAACTACTTTTATAAAAGTGCCTTTGTAAAATTGCTTTCATAAAAGGGTATAATTGGTATTCTAAAAATTTATTGGGGACAACTCTAGGGGAAATTTTTTGAATAAGTGCTTATTGTATGAACACTTAAAAAAAGCTGGAAATTGGGGTTTAAAAATAAGTCCTTATTTTTAAAATAAGAACTTATTTCTCAAACACCAAATAGTGCTTAATGGTGTGGTTCCCACCTAAATAAGCACTTATTTTTAAGTACTGCCAAACATAGCCTAATAATTGGCACATTGTATGATATTTTAAACCTTGGATGTAACAAGTCAAGATTTTACAAACTGAGCCAGCGGACAACTTCAATCAAGCAACCTACTTGCCACGTCTCTTTTGTAACTTACTTTGTTTGTTTGGTTAAAATGATTGCTCAAAACAACCATTATTTGAAGAACGAATTTTTAGCTAAAAATGATTCTTTTTTTCAAGTCAAATCTTTATCTCGAAAGAATCGATTCTTATAATGAGTTTTTAGCTGAAAAGTAATTAGTTCCAACAATTTCCTTGCATCCAAAGTAAAAATGACTCTTAAAATCACAAAATCCATCATAGCTAATTACCTCCTTTAGAGTATTTTTGCCTAACAACCTATCCAGAGCACATACACTGAAATTATGTTTCAGAGCTCCTACTACGTGGATGATTAAACTGGTTTGACCGAGCCATTAGATGCAGCTTGTGTTTGATACTGTAGGTGTTTCAACCTACACTGTTTTGAGTTGAAATGTTATTTGTAGTTGAAACACGAACACTACTGTTTGTATTTGATTCTCATTTGATGATAAATGCGTTTTTCATCCACGTCAGCACCACATAAGTCTTTTTTCCTTTTTTTCTTTTTCTTTTTTTTTTTTTTTTAGGGTTCAAAAGCACATCAATCTGGGCAATGGCGTGTAGTGTATCCGTTTGATCCTCAATAATCGTATCACCACACCTCACCACAATACCAGACATCCACCTGGTGAGCCTCTTAAGCTGTATTATTTTGGTAAACAGTTGGCAACTGCTTCTGGTGAGACAGAAGTATCGGTTCTGGACCACTTTTGTTATAATCAGATACAAAGCAGATAATAGAAAAGCTTAAATGAAAACAAGTTCATGGGATATGGAAAGAGCAGTTGATTTGTTACTACTTTTTTTTTTAATCTCTGAAAGTCTTGCAACAGCATCGTTACAATATGTAAATAAATCTAAACAATGAAAAAGCTCACGAACTAGCTGTAGAGCCTGAATCCAGGGAACCGAATGCAAGTATCATGCTGGTGCCCCTAATTGCTGAAAAAATGAGTAACTATTCCAGAATTTAACCTCTGTAGAGAAGAATGCAGGTGATACTATTTCAGATCGAAACTAGACCAAATAAACAACTAGCCCTCCACCTTCGTGGAAAGGTATTAACAACAACAATATAACCAAGCAGATTTCGTGCTAATTTGTGCTTCCATCCATGATTTAAATGGAACAATAAATGTAACACACTAATCCTACTGAAACTCAACCTCTCGTTCATGAAAACAAATACAAGTCTTAAAAAGATTGCTTCCTGCTCTCTTCCCCCGGTTGGAATCCCTGAAAATATTACACAAATAAATCCATGGTTTACACAGAAACAGTGATCGTGGCAGAACACCCAGTAACATTCCTTAACACAGACCTCAATTTCACAAGCCTTAACTCGAGCAGCATCCGACTCTCTTCAGTGCTGACACATCATCCTTGATATTTATTCTCTCTCCTTTGCTGGGAATGGTTGATGCAGCTCCCTCATCGCCTGTCTCCACTGCTTTTTTGCTCACAATACGGTAGATCTGAGTCAGGACTTCCGCAAATGCATTGTCCACATTGGTTGCTTCCAACGCAGAGGTCTCCATGAAGTAGAGTGATTCCCTCTCAGCAAAGGATTTTCCATCGTCGGTAGAGACGGCCACAAGATGACGGAGGTCAGACTTGTTTCCAATGAGCATGACAACAATGTTGGGGTCGGTATGGTCCCTCAACTCCTTTAACCACCTCTCAACATTCTCAAAAGTAGAATGTCGAGTGACATCATACACAAGCAGTGCACCAACTGCTCCTCGGTAGTAAGCACTAGTGATGGCCCGGTACCTGTAGAAAGGGGATAGATCAGAAAACCCATCAAGCATGTTTCCCATTATCAAAAACACAAGAAACCTAGTTTGCATTTTGCACGAAGGCCTCCTCATTACTTGTTAATGGTAAAGAAATATCTTAATAATGACTACTCTGCCACTTCAAATTGAACTATATCTTCATGCTCTCAGATGCCTCACCAGAGTGAAATTGGAAATATAATACAAATTATCAGGAACTGGAATGGAGAACAACCAAATGCCCAAAATAGGTAGTAGGAAGCATGCTTTGAGGGATCCAGTTTTAAAGTCTAGTAAGACAAGCCAAATATATGCAAAGAACACATTAGTTGCTATCATGTTTCAAGTTATTTTCAGCATGATAGTATAATATATTTTCATTGTATGACCTACTGGATGGAGTTCCTGTTTCTAAATATGGCACAAATGTCAAGTTATGAGGACCCTAGACCACATACAGTTACTCTTGCCCCCAACTAGATGGTCGGCTTTATCAGATAATCCACAGATTCCGGGATAAAGTTGTAAGAATGGTATCAAGACAGAAAAACAGAGCAAGAACTTCTTATTCATATATTCAGTTTACATGTACAGAGATAATATATATATAGAGCAGTGATGAATCACCGACTTGCCCACATGTCCACGTGGCTGATTACAGCTGTCGGTTGGTTATAACCAACTGTAGTATTCTAACATTCTAACACCCCCCTCTCAAGTTGGAGCAGCCTGGATGCCCAACTTGGACAGATGAGAAAAGAAACAATCTGTGGAGACAGCTTTGGTGAAGAGATCTGCTGGTTGTGAGGTGCTAGAAACATGAGTGGTTGTCAATTCGCCCCGTTGGATGAGATCATGGATAAAATGACGGTCAATTTCAATGTGCTTGGTGCGCTCATGGAAGACGGGGTTGGCAGCAATGTGTAATGTGGCTTTGCTGTCACAGTGAAGAGTGGGAGGTGTGGAGAGGTTGACTTGTAGTTCAGTAAGAATCCTCTTTAACCACACTAACTCAGATGAAGTAACGGCCTTGGCTCTGTACTCTGCTTCAGCAGAGGAGAGAGAGACAGTGTGCTGCTTCTTTGATTTTCATGATAGAGGAGAGTTTCCAAGTATGGTCAAATAGCCTGTGGTGGAGCGACAAGTCAGGGGGCAGCTGGCCCAGTCAGAATCACAAAATCCATGGAGTTGGAGAGGACTGGAGGTTGAGAAGAAAATGCCATAGGTCACAGTGCCTTTGATGTGGCGTACCACTCGTAAAGCTGCATCAAAATGTTCTTGTTTGGGGTCTTGCATAAATTGACTTAAATAGTTGGCAGCAAAACAAATGTCTGGTCTTGTTGCTGTTAAGTAGATAAATCAACCTATCAAACGGCGATACTGGGCTGGATCTGAATATGCTGGATTGGAGGTGTCAATGAAATGTCTTTGGGGTTCCATGGGTGTAGGACAAGACTTGCAATCCATCATATCTGTGTCTCGGATGATGTCAAAAGCATACTTTTGTTGACTGAGAAAGATGCCATCCAAGAAAAAAGGTAAGTGGGCCCAAATCTTTGATCCCAAATAGACCATCAAGGTGTTTCTTGAGAGCGAGAATGCAAGTGGTGTCATTTCCTGTAATAATGACATCATCAACATATACCAAAACAACAACAAAGGAGAATCCGGACTGAAGTGTGAAGAGAGAATGATTAGATGGCGATTGCTTGTAACCCAAGGATGACAGTGACAATGTGAATTTCTCAAACCACATTCGGGAGGCTTGCTTGAGGCCGTAAAGAGACTTATTCAATTTACAAACATGGTTGGGGAGATTATTCCCAAAGCCTTGCGAAATGGTCATGTACACTTCTTCATGGAGGTCTCCATGAAGAAAAGCATTGTTCGCGTCTAGCTGATGGAGATCCCAACCTTTGATGGCTGCAACTGCGAGTAAACATCGAACAGTGGCGATTTTAGCCACTGGAGCAAAAGTGTCATGATAATCAAGGCCTTCAATTTGAGTGTAACCTTTTGCAACAAGACACGCTTTGAAGCGTTCTATAGTACTATCAGCCTTGTATTTGATGCGGTAGACCCACTTTGACCCAATGGGTTTCTTGCCAGGAGGTAGTGGTACAATGAACCAAGTGTTGTTTTGTTCTAAGGCTGCAACTTCATCGACCATTGCTTAACGCCATCGTGGGTCTTTGGCTGCTTGGGTGTAGGTCTTGGGTTCATCTTGAAGCAAGATGGGTTTGGGCTAGTGAAGGAGGAGGAAGTTGATAAATGTAGTCATGGAGATGAGCAGGGACAGTGGTATTGCGGCGTGGGTGGGTGATTGGTGATGATGGTGAGTCTAGTGGGTGATGGGCAGTGGGTTCAAGTGTTTCAATGTGGCTATGTTGAGGAGGTGTCGATGGTGTAGAATTGATGGCTTGAGTGGGTTCAGCCATAGGAGGTTGGCTTGTTTGGGTTTGGTGTTGGGTAGTGTCAATGGTGATAGGTGGGCTAGGGTAATCAAAATCTTCTAGGGGTGGTAGAGGAATGATAGATGTGTTGGGTTGAGTAAGTAAAGGCCCATTCTTGAATGGGAAATGATTCTCATAAAAAATGACATCTCTTGTGGTGAAGATTTTATGAGTTTCTAGGTTGTAAACTCTGTAACCACGTTGACCATGTGGGTAGCCCACAAAGACACAAAGATGGGCTCGAGGGGCAAATTTGTCATGTAGACGTGGTCGTAATTGGGCATAACAGAGGCAGCCAAAAACCCTTAGGTGATGGTAGGATGGGAATTTGTGAAACAAGGCTTCATATGGAGAGACATTGGATAGTAGTGGGGTGGGTAGTAAGTTTATGATATAAGCTGCAGTGAGTAGACATTCTCCTCAAAAAAACAATGGGAAGGGAGGCTTGAAACATTAATAACCGTGCCACCTCCAATAGATGACGGTGTTTTCTTTCTGCCACCCCATTTTGTTGGGGTGTGTCCACACATGAGGTTTGATGCAGTATCCTTTGTGAAGCAAGGTAATGTTGAACTAGCCCAGACATGAATTCAGACCCATTATCACTACGAATTTGTTTAATAGAAGCATTAAACTGTCTAGTGACCATTGCACAAAAAGAAATCAAGTACTGACCAGCCTCTAACTTGTGCTTTGATAGGTATACCCAAGTACATCTTGTGTTATCATCTACCAAGGTAAGAAAATATCTAGCACCACAATGAGAGGGGGTTTTATAACCTCCCCATATATCACAATGTACCAAAGAAAAAGGTTCTTTGCTGCGAGTGCTACTGATCGGGAATGGCAAACAAGCTTGTTTGGCCCGATAGCATGTATCACAACATGGCGTCAGAACAGAAATGGAGATCCCATGAATGAGAGCTAAACGAGATCGGGAGGTGTGCCCCAAATGCATATGCCAAATTGAAGAACTGATAGTGGTGGACTGATGAGCCCTAATTGAATGGCTAACAGTGGTGGAGTGGTGGAATCTGAAATGGTATAACCCATTGCAGAGCTCACCGGTCCCAATCACAGCCTTGGAGAGTGGGTCCTGAAGAATGCAATAATGTGGAAAAAAATGGCAATACAATTTAGTTGTGTGATCTTGCTTACCGACAAAAGATTGCAATGAAATGTGGGAACATGCATAACATCTTGAAGGATATGTGACCCAATGGTGATGGATCCACGCAAATTTGTGCGGGTCAGTGATCCATCTGGAAGACGGATGCTTGTGGGTGTGACAGTAACAGAGGTATCAAACCAGGCATCGTTTGACACCATGTGGTCCGAAGCACCAATGCCAATAATCCATTCAATGGAAGGAGCAATGTTCTTACCAGCAGAGACTGAGGCTGCAAAATTCAGTTGATTCTCTATTCAGGAGAGAGATCAATTGAGTGTATTGGTTCATAGTTAGGCCAACCACCGGTGAGTTTTGATTCATTGATATATTTGGTTGGTATGTATTATCTGTAACTGTGAGAGCAGCAGTTCGGGTGTTTTTACCAGAATAATCAGTTGGCGTTTTGTCATTTCGGCGTCGATTCCAGTTTGGGGGATATCCAAAGAGAGCATAACATCGATCCTTGGTGTGGCCGTTCTTTTTGCAATGGTCACACCGGAGTTTTGGTCATGACATCCCGGTACCTTTATCCTTTTCCGTGAGTGCTAAAGCTTGAGGTTGCAAAGAGCGGGGAACCATCATCTGTTGGTGACGCTCCCCTTGTATTATGAGGGCATAGGCCTTGTTTAAGGTAGGCAAAGGCTCAAATCCAAGAATGTTTGATCGAACCGTATTAAACGATTCGTTGAGACCCATTAAAAATTGATGAAACCTGTCTCTGTTACGCTCCATCGAAAAAATCTTGGCAGCTCCAGAAGTGCATTCAGGGTACACCATGAGAGAATTTAGTTCGTCCCAAAGTGTCTTAAGTTTTGTAAAGTACGCACTGACAGTGAGATAGTCTTGACGTAGCAGTGCCAAGTCTCGTTTCAGTTCATATATTCGAGGGATGTTACCTTGTGAAAAACGATCCTGGAGCTCTTTCCAGATTTCTGTTGTTGTATCGACGAATGCTACGCTGTTGTAGACTTCCTTTGCTAAGGAGTTGAAGATCCACGCAATGACCATCGCATTGCATTTGGTCCAAGAACTGAATTCTGGAGCACCAGCTGCTGGTTTTGGCATAGATCCATCAACAAAGACTAATTTGTTCTTTGCTTTTAGAGCATTGATCATTGCTCTTTGCCACATGGGATAATTGTCACCGGTGAGAGGACAGGACACAAGCATCATTCCTGGACTGTCCGAAGGAGAAAGAAAATAAGGAGAGCTGTGTTCAGTCTCCATGAGAATGGAAAGAATAGTTGCAGAGAAATAGCTCAATCAAGAAAGCACGATCATGGCTGAGTCAAGATTTGCAGGGAGACAACCGGATCAAGAATCGTTGAGTAGAGGGAGCACGGCTGGATCAAGAACCGTTGAGCAAGCACC